CTAGTAGATGTAGCAAAATCCTAATTCTCATCAACAGGATCATCTCAGTGAGCAATCTGGGAAACCCTTAGATTGTTGGCTATTCTGGCTCTGGTAATCTGTCATCTCCACACAACATTATCTGTTATGGATGGAGTTAGCTTTGGATCTTATCATATTGATTGACTAATAATTCTTAAGATATGGATGAAGGTATAGGATTTATATCAGGAAGATATACATAAAGCTAGGCAATGAAGTATGCAGATTATAGACCAGCGGAATGTTATTTCCATAGGCCCATGCACTTAGAATGAGACTCCCAATGAAACAATGTCAACAATGAGACCGATCTCGCTCTCCGCTCTATCAAAACAACAACACCCTGACTCACTCCCTGACTGTCTCCCGATGGAAACTATAAAAGCATTCTCCACATTGACAGATTGTGCGGTTAGTAACTGTCTGCCACTGAAGCCCGGCACTACACTGTTAGAACCCCTCCATTAGTGAAAGCCTTGGATATTTCATTATGTGAGAGGGTGTGGGCTTGATCCGGTCCCATAGGAACACAATAGTTCTCCCACCCCCCAACCAGTCTCCGTACTATTCTGCTCCCACAGCCACAGACTTGATTGCCATTGACTTGACTGGTGTCAAATTTCCCTGCCGCTGCCGTTCCTGACGCTGACACCAAGGCCCTTTCTATTGATGTATAGCAACTCAAAGGCTTCAAGACCTTGACTAGACTACATAATGGACATGTATGGCCAGGGAGAATACCGCTATAGGAATATTGCAGTCTTGCTTTTTTCTTGCCTATGGAAATATACAATGACACAATGCAAAAAGCTTGAAGAGTGAGGACTAATTGAGCTCTGAGTGGGTCCAGAGGCCGATGATGATTTCTAATGGAGACTTGAAGCCTGGGACAGGAAGGGATGCTCATGATGATGGTTGTGGCCATGAGCATATAAGAAAGGTAGGCTTATGTACTGATACTGAATGTCTTTTTTAGTTAAGTTTAGTTTATTTGATCATTTAAAGGTACACATACAAAATTATGCACTTGATTAAGAATCATCAAGGGTAAACACAAAAGTTGACGACTTATTTCTGTTGTGGTCCTTAAGTAACATCTCATTAAAGATGAGGGACCCAGGATGGCTTTCAGAGATACAGTGAGGTAAAAAAGTATTTGATCCCCTGCTGATTTTGTATGTTTGCCCACTAACAAAGACATGATCAGTCTATAATTTTAATGGTAGGTTTATTTGAACAGTGAGAGACAGAATAACAACAAAAAAATCCAGAAAAAAACTCCTCTTTGCAGATCTTCTCCAAGTCATTAAGGTTTCGAGGCTGACGTTTGGCAACTCAAACCTTCAGGTCCCACCACAGATTTTCTATGGCCTTAAGGTCTGGAGACTGGCTAGGCCACTGCAGGACCTTAATGTGCTTATTCTTGAGCCACTCCCTTGTAGCCTTGGCCGTGTGTTTTGGGTCATTGTCATGCTGGAATACCCATCCACGACCCATTTTCAATGCCCTGGCTGAGGGAAGGAGGTTCTCACCCAAGATTTGACGGTACATGGCCCCGTCCATCGTCCCTTTGATGCGGTGAAGTTGTCCTGTTCCCTTAGCAGAAAAACACCCCCAAAGCATAATGTTTCCACCTCCATGTTTGACGGTGGGATGGTGTTCTTGGGATCATAGGCAGCATTCCTCCTCCTCCAAACACGGCGAGTTGAGTTGATGCCAAAGAGCTCGATTTTGGTCTCATCTGACCACAACACTTTCACCCAGCTCTCCTCTGAATCATTCAGATGTTCATTGGCAAACTTCAGACGGGCCTGTATATGTGCTTTCTTGAGCAGGGGGACCTTGCGGGTGCTGCAGGAATTCAGTCCTTCACAGCGTAGTGTGTTACCAATTGTTTTCTTGGTGACTATGGTCCCAGCTGCCTTGAGATCATTGACAAGATCCTCCCGTGTAGTTCTGGGCTGATTCCTCACCGTTCTCATGATCATTGCAACTCCACGAGGTGAGATCTTGCATGGAGCCCCAGGCCGAGGGAGATTGACAGTTATTTTGTGTTTCTTCCATTTGCTAATAATCGCACCAACTGTTGTCACCTTCTCACCAAGCTGCTTGGCGATGGTCTTGTAGCCCATTCCAGCCTTGTGTAGATCTACAATCTTGTCCCTGACATCCTTGGAGAGCTCTTTGGTCTTGGCCATGGTGGAGAGTTTGGAATCTGATTGATTGATTGCTTCTGTGGACAGGTCTTTTTATACAGGTAACAAACTGAGTTTAGGAGCACTCCCTTTAAGAGTGTGCTCCTAATCTCAGCTCGTTACCTGTATAAAAGACACCTGGGAGCCAGAAATCTTTCTGATTGAGAGGGGGTCAAATACTTATTTCCCTCATTTAAAATGCAAATATATTTATAACATTTTTGACATGCGTTTTTCTGGATTTTTGTTGTTGTTATTCTGTCTCTCACTGTTCAAATAAACCTACCATTAAAATTATAGACTGATAATTTCTTTGTCAGTGGGAAAACGTACAAAATCAGCAGGGGATCAAATACTTTTTTCCCTCACTGTAGATGAGACAGAGAGAAATATAGAAGAGACAGACAGAGGTATATAAACTCAGCAAAAAAAGAAACGTCCCTTTATCAGGACCCTTTCAAAGATAATTAGTCAAACACTTCATGATGGTCTTCCTGCGCACATGGCTCTGCAGTCAGTCACTCCATTAATCATGGCAGGACTAAATTTAAGACGGTTGCTTTGCTGGAGGGTCTTTACATGGATTTTTCTGCATAGAAAATGCTTGGGCTCTAAGTGTTTTTTCAGGCCAAACAGTGTAAAATAATCATGAATGAATAATGATGAGAGAGAAAGTTACATGCACAAAGATCATACCCCCAAGACATGCTAACCTTTCACCATTACCAATAACATGGGAGGTTAGCATTTTGGGGGGGTGGGGGTATGATATTTATGCCTCTAACTTCCTCACTCATCATTATTCACACATTTTTATTTATTCTTATTTACAATAAAAGTGACTCCAAAATGACACTACATTATTTTCCATTCATTTCTATTGGGCAAAACATTATCTGAAACACAACCAAAACAAACAGCAAATGCATCCAACATGTTTGTAGTCACAAGTCACAAGTCATTGCGTTCTAGGAATATGGGATCAAATACTAACATTTAATACACTATAAGTGAATTTGTCCAAATACTAATATCAGATCTAGATGCATGAAGTGCTTTAATTTCTAAACGGTAAAACAGATATGTATGAAAATACCCTCAAATAAAAGGTTACATTCTGTACTGTCGCCTCATTTAAAACATTTAATCTCAAATCCAAAATGCTGGAGTATAGAGCCAAATTAAAAGTTTTAGCTTCACTAACCAAATAAATACATAGGGGTGTGTGTGTATAGATAGATATATAGATAGATAGATAGAATTTGAAGGCTAGTGATCTCTCTCTCTCTCTCTCTAAAAATGTGTCCCAGCGGGTGCAACTTTCTATGAATGACATGTTGGAGCCTACACCCCCACGAGCACTGCCAAGTAACAAGCTATTGTCTCAGTCACCTCAGTGTCAACTTAACCTGACACCATGCATTCATTCAAGCTCATACCATGATGCTTCTATCAATGACTGGCTGGCGTCCTAGAGACGAGGTCACTGTCCCTACAGAAAACCTATTGTTAACTCATTCAGTGTAGCGGCCCACAAGAACCCTTAACTAATTGCATGTCAAATAAGAATGATGGTACTAGTAGACAGACAAGTGTTTGTGTGCTGTTACTAAATTGCAGAGAAGTGTTGCTAATACACAGGGTTGCTAATGTAACAGATTTTCGGGGTCTTGACCAGGATCGCATCAAACTAACATGGAAAAAACACCTGCTGTTTTTCAAATACATGTTTGATTGGAAAGGCAGTCAATGTTTTCCTTCAATAGATATTGTTATGTACTGTATGTGGCGGAAAAAAGGCACCTACTGGGCCCCAGTGATATGGATATTGTTTACGTAGTGCCGGTCAGCGACTGTTACCCAAGAGTGAGGCTAGTGTGCCAGGCTCCTATCCTCTCACATTGCTGGGTCTTGTTCATTAGGGCATGCAAAGGAAAACGTTTGAAAACAAGAATGAGCGTTTCTTATTGGCCAAAACCTGGTAATCCCTCCCTGTTTCAGTCCGTTTTCTTTTATTTGGTGTCTAATGAACACTACCCTGGGGAATGAGACTAGGGTTATGCCTCTGTTGTGACGGAGTTATCAAATAGGATTTCTTTCCAGCTTGACCCACTGACCCAGTCTACATATAGCGTGTGTATTTAAGACACAGTAGCATGCCCAATGCGCACATACAGTATATATTGTTTAGCCTATATATGTAGAGAGTTCTGAGGAAAGTTAGATGGAGATGTCCAGGCATTGGATTTTATGGTGTTGGGACCGCTGGGGTCAGAATGTGCTGCAGTCGGGTATGCTGTGGCAGGCTGCTTTGTGTTTGTTATGGTTTAGCTGATAGGCTTTGACATGGAAAACGAAGCTTCAGCAAAAAGGGTGGTATTCAAATCCAGTGGTTTCCCTTCCCTATACACGTGAAAGGTTCTTTCAGCAGGGCAATGTGTCCTTCCTTGTTGCAGATAGGAGTTCTAGTAATTTGTCATTTGGCTAATATGTTTGTGTTAAAGTAGCTACTTCAATTAGTTCCTGAATGGTTCAAAGTGCCTGTCAGTGTTTGGCTTTTGTTTGTAAATGGAACCACATTTGCGTAAGTTGAGAATGAAAGTGGAAGTTGTCGGCTATTGAGAAATAGAGGGGATCTGAGAGTTGTAAGGAATGGAAAGAAGGGATCACAGCTGGTTTCACATCTATTTTTGAAGAAATAAATAAGAAATGCAAGTTTTTGTCTTTGAAGAAGGTTATTTCTCAATCATGCCATTAATCAATTTTACTCTCGTTTGCCCTCAGAACTCAGCTAGGATGCAGTCACAGGAAGGGGAGGAGCCTTCTCCTAACAGCAGCCAATCAGACAGCCGGTTGAAGAGCAAGAAGCCGCCCAGTCTGGTCATAGCCATCCCTGCCCCAGAGGAAGAAGAGAGAGCTGAAACGGTCAAGCAGGTACCCCTTTGACCTGCTTTTTCCATTTTGACCCCTGTTATGCTAACATGGTCTCTACTTGGAAAATGGCAGTTGAGGCTCTGATGAAGGCCATTTCAATAGGAAAGGGAAGAATTGGCATGCAAACTTTTACAGCTGGTAGTATAGCCAGAGTTTCAGCCCCCAACTGAAAACCTTTTTACTATAGATGAGCATGCTGTCTCCCTTTCCTTCATATACAGTATGTCATTTCATTGGGGGGAAGTATGGCATTTGGGACATCTGCTGGTGTCTACGGGCATCCATATCCCAACCAGCCCCCCCCCCCCAGTCCACTCATGCTAGTGTTGCACGGTCAGTCACGACTAGCTACTTTATAGCAAAGCTGAGATAGGCCCTGTTAACATTCCTGTCTTTACATTTTGGGTTTTATAAATAGGGGCAGGTTGTTTTTTCTGATTTGGACAAAATTGCCCCAAAATCCAGAAATGTTTTCCGTATAAGACTCGTCATCGGTCATTTGAAAGCTAATCTAATCTAATGTAGTCACATTAGCCAGTTTTTGGGTCCATGTATCCATTTTCCTGTTTAACTCATTTCTCTTGTCTTCACTGTCTGGCTGGTCTGGCACACCCTGGGGGACTCCTTCAGATTAAGTGGTTATTTTGCCCCAAATGATCTGCTCCATCAAGCATTAAGCACTCCCTGCACCATTACTTGTCAAAAGTCATCAGTGTTAGGTGTATGCCCGCAGAGAGTGTGTGGGTGGGTGTGTGTGTGTGAGGGAGAGTGCATGTGTGAGAACACAAGTGTGTGCGTGTGCTCATTAATTTGTGTGTGTGTGCATCTACGTGTGTGTGTATGTGTGTGAGCACTGTCACTACACAGGGGTTTCCCCAACAAAGAGCCTCTGGTGGCTGGCTGGCTAGCTAAGCACACCCCCTGCTGGTTCACACACAGGCAGCACATATGGCTCTCACAATACTCAATTAACGCCACAGTGACTCGACAAGTCGTTAGCCAAGTCGCCGTTAAAGACGTGAATGGGGTTTTGAAAGAACATGCCATACAAAATGAAAAAACATTACAAAAACAAATGCCCAAGTCTCCACTTTTGAAGTATAAGACGTTAGTCTAATGGAAAAATACTAAGCTTTAGGATGATTTGGTGGTTCCTTAGTATCACTTCTTTGTTTTCTAACAAAGTGAAAAAATGATATATGCATTTTGCTGCAGTCTCAGAAAAATAAAACTCCTTACTTTGCCTTTCTTACACTTCTGTTTTGGAATAAGTTGATTGATCTGAGCTAAACCAGATAGCTGTAACCCCTCACTAAAGTCAATGGAACGCTGTGGACTGAATCATACAAAATAAATAATGCTCTTAACACGCATTCCCTTCCAAATTACATTTACATTTGAGTCATTTAGCAGACGCTCTTATCCAGAGCGACTTACAGTTAGTGAGTGCATACATTATTCCCCCCCCCCCGTGGGAATCGAACCCACAACCCTGACGTTGCAAACGCCATGCTCTACCAACTGAGCTACATCCCTGCCAGCCATTCCCTCCCCTACCCTGGAAGATGCTGGGCCAATTGTGCGCCTCCCCATGGGTCTCCCGGTCGCGGCCGGCTACGACAGAGCCTGGATTCGAACCAGGATCTCTAGTGGCACAGCCTTAGACCACTGCGCCACTCGGGAGGCCGAGTGTTCCAAATGGAAGGCGCACAATTGGCCCAGCGTCGCCCAGGGTAGGGAAGGGAATGGCTGGCAGGGATGTAGCTCAGTTGGTAGAGCATGGTGTTTGCAACGCCAGGGTTGTGGGTTCGATTCCCACGGGGGGGAAATAATGTATGCCGAGTGTTCCAAATGTTCCATTGACAACAATGCATGATTTACGCGATTTTCAAATTTTTCACACACCCCAAGTGAAGATTTAGCCCAGTAGTATACCAGTGATGGCGTGAATTCCATTTAAATTCAGCCAATCCATTTCAAGTGCCCTTTAATTTCATGGCCTACAGTATACTGACTCTCTGAGCTAGGATTATGCTCAGTAGTCCCTCTGCTCTCTCCCCTGTCCAGCCCCTGCGTTCATCCCTGAAGAAGAGTGAGAGCCTGCAGCAGGCCAGTCCTCTGTCTGACAGTGGTACTGATGGGGGTGGAGGTCACTCTGCTGGGGACAGGAGGGCAGCCTTCTACAGACAGACCTCCCTGTCTCAGAGCATACGCAAGTAAGTGGGCTGGGGGGGAGTGGAAAGAGAGAGGGAAAATATAAGGGAAGGGATGAAGAAACTAATGGAGGGCAGAAGAAAATCTGATAGGGGGCATAGGAGGATTGTAGGGGTAGTGGGTGAGAAAGGAGGAAGATGAAGAGGGTGAAAAGACAGGGAAGGTACTGTATGATAAGATTAAAAGGGGTTGGGGTGGTGGAAAGAGACTTTAGATTAACAGATGGTAGCAGAGAGAGAAACGGAAGAGAAAGAGAAAAGACAGTGGGAGAATCAATATTGCATACTCCTCACATCCTCTCTCCTGGCCTCTTTCTCAAACCCCATTGGAGAAGAAGGTCAGAGGGGAGGGACCTCTGGCTTTCTCATCCAATGGGTTTTGAGAATTGGGGGTTGGTGGTGGCATACAGCGGGGGATTTCCTTTTATGACTGTTTGGAATGTTGGACATAAACAAGTTGTATTCTCTCCTCCCCCCTCCCTCTCTCTTTTACCCCTCGCTGTCTCTCTCCCTCTCTCTTCGGTATTCTTCCCTTCCTCCCTCCCTCCCTCCCTCCCTCCCTCCCTCCCTCCCTCCCTCTCTTTCGTTTCCCCCTTCCTTCCTCTCTCCCTCCTTTCTCTCCTCTTTCCCCCTTCCCTCTCTCTCTCCCTCACCCCCTCTCCCTCTTCCAATACCCTCTCTCTCCCTCCCCGTCCTCTAGGGGTACAGCCCAAGCTACAGCCCAAGCAGCAGGTTGGTTCGGGGTGGGTGAGAACTGTGAGACCGAGCAGCAGCTATGGCAGAAGAAGAGTCTGCGCCACTGCAGCCAGCGCTACGGCAAGCTCAAGGCCCAGTACAGAGAGCCAGAGCTCCCCGTCAGCATGGACCAGGGCCTGGACTCACCCGCCGCAAACAAGATGCCCAAGGTAGGCTACCGAACACACACATACATATGGAGACCACTCCTAGCCCCTAGGTCTGACAGAACTGGATAGGTACAGTGCATTTGGAAAGTATTCGGCCCCCTTGACTTTTTCCACATTTTGTTACGTTACAGCCTTATTCTAAAATGGATTAAATAAAGTTTTTCCCTCATCAATCTACACACAATACACCATAATGACAAAGCAAAAACAGTTTATTTTATACATTTTTGCAAATGTATACAAAATAATCAACTTAAATATCACATTTACATAAGTATTCAGACCCTTTACTCAGTACTTTGTTGAAGCACCTTTGGAAGCGATTACAGCCTCGAGTCTTCTTGGGTATGAAGCTACAAGCTCGGCAAACCTGTATTTGGGGAGTTTCTCCCATTCTTCTCTGCAGATCCTCTCAAGCTCTGTCAGGTTGGATGGGGAGCGTCGCTGCACAGCTATTTTCAGGTCTCTCCAGAGATGCTAAATCGGGTTCAAGGCCGGGCTCTGGCTGGGCCACTCAAGGACATTCAGAGACTTGTCCTGAAGCCACTCCTGCGTTGTCTTGGCTGTGTGCTTAGGGTCGTTGTCCTGTTGGAAGGTGAACCTTTGCCCCCAGTCTGAGGTCCTGAGCACTCTGGAGCAGGTTTTCATCAAGGATCTCTCTGTACTTTGCTTTGTTCATCTTTCCCTCGATCCTGACTAGTCTCCTAGACCCTGCCGCTGCAAAACATCCCGACAGCATGATGCTGCCACCACCATGCTTCAACGTAGGGATGGTGCCAGGTTTCGTCCAGACGTGACACTTGGCATTGAGACCAAAGAGTTCAATCTTGGTTTCATCAGACCAGAGAATCTTGTTTCTCAAGGTCTGAGTCCTTTTAGGTGCCTTTTGGCAAACTCCAAGCGGGCTATCATGTGCCTTTTACTGAGGAGTGGCTTCCGTCTGGCCACTCTACCATAAAGGCCTGATTGGTGGAGAGCTGCAGAGATGGTGGTCCTTCTGGAAGGTTCTCTCATCTCCACAGAGGAATTCTAGAGCTTTGTCAGAGTGACCATCGGGTTCTTGGTCACCTCCTTGTTTCTGCAACTTGTCTAGAGAGTCAGCACTTCTTCATTGTAGCAGTACACATGTCCTTGAGCAGTTTAACAAAGAGGCAGTGTGTGTGTGAGTCACAAGTCTATCTCAGCCTACCCCCTAACGGTTCCTCACATTAATCACAGCTTGTTATGTTAAACAATCTATATCAGTACAGCACAAACCTATTATGTTTAATCATTAATGTATTCTTTCTAAGCTAGGCATCACATCTAGTTGTAAGAGAATAGATCCCCACAGTGGTTCCAAACTTCTTCAATTTTTAAGAATGATGGAGGCCACTGTGTTCTTAGGGACCTTCAATGTTGCAGACATTTTTTGGTACCCTTCCCCAGATCTGTGCCTCGACACAATCCTGTCTCGGAGCTCTACGGACAATTCCTTCGACCTCATGGCTTGGTTTATTTCTCTGACATGCACTGTCAACTGTGGGACCTTATATATACAGGTGTGTGCCTTTCCAAATCTTGTCCAATCCAATTGAATTTACCACAGGTGGACTCCAATCAAGTTGAGGAAACCACTCAAGGATGATCAATGGAAACAGGATGCACCTGAGCTCAATTTTGAGTCTCATAGCAAATGTGTCTGAATACTTATGTAAATAAGATATTTCATTTTTACATTTTTAATACATTTGCAAAAATGTCAAAAAACCTGTTTTGACTTTGTCATTAAGGGGTATTGTGTGTAAATTGACGAGGAAAAAAATTAATTGAATCCATTTTAGAAAAAGGCTGTAACGTAACAAAATGTGGAAAAAGTAGACGGGTCTGAATACTTTATGAATGCACTGTATATATACTTATATGTATAAGCAATGAAGTAAGAGGCAAGTAAATATACTACTATATGCATCTTTTTTGGATCTACATGAAGTGCCCAGGGAGTGAGGGATCGGGATTGTTTCTAGACGGGGCCACTGTATTTGTTGCACCATCAAATCAACTTTACCTAACAAGACGCTATCATCAACAACCATCATTTGTCTCGGTGTCAGACATCAGATTAGACTCCACTTTGGACCTCTACTCAGAATGGAGAAATCATAGAGAGCAGGTGGAGGAAGGGCGGCGGTAGTGCCACTCAGGGGGAAGTGCACCCTCTGCCTGGCATAAATAATGCAGAGTGTGGCACCATGATGGCAGGAGGTAGCCTACATCTGAGCCTCAACCAGTGTGTCTGTTAGCCCCCACACACTCCGCTCTCCTCCACCGACTCTGACACACCCACTCACTCCTGGGTGCTTATTCGTCTCCACGACTCTCTCTCTTTCTCTCTCTTTTTGTCTGTCACTCTATGCCCCCTTATTTCTCTCTCTCTCTCTCTCTCTCTCTCTCTCTCTCTCTCTCTCTCTCTCTCTCTCTCTCTCTCTCTCTCTCTCTTTCTCCCCCAATCTTGTTGTTCATCTTTCTATTTTGCTCTCTGTCAGCTCCTATGAAGACTCGGGTAAGACTTCAGAACAAGCGTCTACATGCTCTCTGACACACTCACGCTGACTGACACCTCTACACACACAGATGCAAACACACACACACACACACACACACACAGACGTGCAAACTCCGAACACTCCTAGTAGATGGATTATTGATGTGTGAATGTCATTGTGACATCAGTAACGCTTTTATGTAGAGCTGTCAATGTAATTCTGTGTCAACTCTTGTAGAATGTAATGTTTTCCTGCTTTAGTTTCCTCCAGCTAGCAGAAATGTCACCATTTGAGGATTTTAGCATTACAATGTAGCTTTTTTGTGATGAAGCTAATGATGTGACAGTTAATTATTTTATTGTTTATTTCTGTTTAATCAACATTTAATCCTCCTCTTATTCGCTTCCCCCCAGATTGTGGACCCCCTAGCGCGGGGGCGAGCGTTCCGCTACCCGGATGAGACGGACCGTCCTCCCCGTACCCCCCACACGGGACCCGTCACCCCGGGGTTCACCTCCCTTTCCTCCTTCACCTCCCAGCGCTCCGGGAACTACGCCCGCCTGCCCCGACGCAAGAGGGAGTCTGTTGCCCGCATGAGTATACGAGCAGCATCCAACCTACTCAGGGTGAGTGGGCACTGGGGAACGTTAGGTGAAGTGTGTGCATGGATGTGTGTGGATGGGGTTGCATCTGTGCCACCTCCAACCTGATCATCACTGGGGATCGTTAGTGGAAACTAGATTACGTTTGAGTGTGTGCATGTGTGTTGCTGTTAAGCACTTTTGACTTGCATTTATAAGGAACAGCTGTACAGATGAATATTTGATGGTTTTGCGTACGTGTATCTACGTGCCTGACATAAATACAGATTTTGCGCTTAAAAGACTGATATGTTGATCTGTGTATGTTGTACTGTACATCACAGTCATATTTGAGTTGTCTCTCCTCACATGCTAGTCTTTGACATTGTCCCACTAACGTCCTGGTTGTGTGTCTGGTTCAGGGTCGTTCAGGTCTAGTGGGCTCCCAGACAGGTCGTAGTTTCCCCCGGCGGAGCTTCGCCCGACCCAGCTGGCTGGAGGAGGACACTGTGGACTCAGCAGACACTCACGGGTCCATGTTCTTCAGCAAGGTAATGATACTCTATCTACCTTTCTCTCTGTGTCCTTCTCTTGCTTTTATGTCTCTCCATGTCTCTGTCCTTCTCTTGCTTTTATGTCTCTCCATGTCTCTGTCTTTCTCTTGCTTTTATGTCTCTCCATGTCTCTGTCCTTCTCTTGCTTTCTCAGTCTCTCTTTTTGTTTTTTCTATCTCTCCGTGTGCCTCAGTCGGTCTCCTTTCTCTCTCTCCTCTTTTGCTGCCTCCGTCTGCATGTTTTTGTTTGTATTAGTTCTCTGTCTCTGTCTGTCTCTTCTATATGTCTCTGTCTGTCTCTTCTATATGTCTCTGTCCGTCTCTTCTATATGTCTCTGTCTGTCTCTTCTATATGTCTCTGTCTGTCTCTTCTATATGTCTCTGTCTGTCTCTTCTACAGTGGGGAGAACAAGTATTTGATACACTGCCGGTTTTGCAGGTTTTCCTACTTACAAAGCATGTAGAGGTCTGTAATTTTTATCATAGGTACACTTCAACTGTGAGAGACGGAATCTAAAACAAAAATCCAGAAAATCACATTGTATGATTTTTAAATTGCATGACATAAGTATTTGATACATCAGAAAAGCAGAACTTAATATTTGGTACAGAAACCTTTGTTTGCAATTACAGAGATCATACGTTTCCTGTAGGTCTTGACCAGGTTTGCACACACTGCAGCAGGGATTTTGGTCCACTCCTCCATACAGACCTTCTCCAGATCCTTCAGGTTTCGGGGCTGTCGCTGGGCAAAATGGACTTTCAGCTCCCTCCAAAGATTTTCTATTAGTTTCAGGTCTGGAGACTGGCTAGGCCACTCCAGGACCTTGAGATGCTTCTTACGGAGCCACTCCTTAGTTGCCCTGGCTGTGTGTTTCGGGTCGTTGTCATGCTGGAAGACCCAGCCACGACCCATCTTCAATGCTCTTACTGAGGGAAGGAGGTTGTTGGCCAAGATCTCGCGATACATGGCCCCATCCATCCTCCCCTCAATACGGTGCAGTCGTCCTGTCCCCTTTGCAGAAAAGCATCCCCAAAGAATGATGTTTCCACCTCCATGCTTCACGGTTGGGATGGTGTTCTTGGGGTTGTACTCATCCTTCTTCTTCCTCCAAACACGGCGAGTGGAGTTTAGACCAAAAAGCTCTATTTTTGTCTCATCAGACCCATGACCTTCTCCCATTCCTCCTCTGGATCATCCAGATGGTCATTGGCAAACTTCAGATGGGCCTGGACATGCGCTGGCTTGAGCAGGGGGACCTTGCGTGCGCTGCAGGATTTTAATCCATGACGGCGTAGTGTGTTACTAATGGTTTTCTTTGAGACTGTGGTCCCAGCTCTCTTCAGGTCATTGACCAGGTCCTGCCGTGTAGTTCTGGGCTGATCCCTCACCTTCCTCATGATCATTGATGCCCCACGAGGTGAGATCTTGCATGGAGCCCCAGACCGAGGGTGATTGACCGTCATCTTGAACTTCTTCCATTTTCTAATAATTGCGCCAACAGTTGTTGCCTTCTCACCAAGCTGCTTGCCTATTGTCCTGTAGCCCATCCCAGCCTTGTGCAGGTCTACAATTTTATCCCTGATGTTCTTACACAGCTCTCTGGTCTTGGCCATTGTGGAGAGGTTGGAGTCTGTTTGATTGAGTGTGTGGACAGGTGTCTTTTTATATAGGTAACGAGTTCAAACAGGTGCAGTTAATACAGGTAATGAGTGGAGAACAGGAGGGCTTCTTAAAGAAAAACTAACAGGTCTGTGAGAGCCGGAATTCTTACTGGTTGGTAGGTGATCAAATACTTATGTCATGCAATAAAATGCTAATTAATTACTTAAAAATCATACAATGTGATTTTCTGGATTTTTGTTTTAGATTCCGTCTCTCACAGTTGAAGTGTACCTATGATAAAAATTACAGACCTCTACATGCTTTGTAAGTATTAAAACCTGCAAAATCGGCAGTGTATCAAATATTTGTTCTCCCCACTGTATATGTCTCTCTTTGTCTCTTCTATATGTCTCTTTCTGTCTCTTCTATATGTCTGTATCTTCTATATGTCTGTCTCTTCTATATGTCTCTGTCTGTCTCTTCTATATATCTCTGTCCTGCAAAAAAAGAAACGTCCTCTCACTCTCAACTGCGTTTATTTTCAGCAAACTTAACATGTGTAAGTATTTGTATGAACATAACAAGATTCAACAACTGAGACATAAACTGAACAAGTTCCACAGACATGTGACTAACAGAAATGGAATAATGTGTCCCTGAACAAAGATCAAAAGGGTCAAAATCAAAAGTAACAGTCAGTATCTGGTGTGGCCACCAACTGCATTAAGTACTGCAGTGCATTTCCTCCTCATGGACTGCACCAGATTTGCCAGTTCTTGCTGTGAGATGTTACCCCACTCTTCCACCAAGGCATCTGCAAGTTCCCAGATATTTCTGGGGGGAATGGCCCTAGCCCTCACCCTCCGATCCAACAGGTCCCAGACGTGCTCAATGGGATTGAGATCCGGGCTCTTCGCTGGCCATGGCAGAACACTGACATTCCTGTCTTGCAGGGAATCAAGCACAGAACGAGCAGTATGGCTGGTGGCATTGTCATGCTGGAGGGTCATGTCAGGATGAGCCTGCAGGAAGGGTACCACATGACGGAGGAGGATGTCTTCCCTGTAACGCACAGCATTGAGATTGCCTGCAATGACAACAAGCTCAGTCCGATGATGCTGTTACACACCGCCCCAGACCATGATGGACCCTCCATCTCCAAATCGTTCCCGCTCCAGAGTACAGGCCTCGGTGTAACGCTCATTCCTTTGACGATAAACGCGAATCCGACCATCACCCCTGGTGAGACAAAACCGCGACTCGTCAGTGAAGAGCACTTTTTGCCAGTCCTGTCTGGTCCAGCGACGGTGTGTTTGTGCCCATAGGCAACGTTGTTGCCGGTGATGTCTGGTGAGGACCTGCCGTACAACAGGCCTACAAGCCCTCAGTCCATCCTCTCTCAGCCTATTGCGGACAGTCTGAGCACTGATGGAGGGATTGTTGTCGTTCCTGGTGTAACTTGGGCAGTTGTTGTTGCCATCCTGTACCTGTCCCGCAGGTGTGATGTTCGGATGTACCGATCCTGTGCAGGTGTTGTTACACGTGGTCTGCCACTGCGAGGACGACAGCTGCCCGTCCTGTCTCCCTGTAGCGCTGTCTTAGGCGTCTCACAGTATGGACTTTGTAATTTATTGCCCTGGCCACATCTGCAGTCCTCATGCCTCCTTGCAGCATGCCGAAGGCACGTTCATGCAGATGAGCAGGGACCCTGGGCATCTTTCTTTTGGTGTTTTTCAGAGTCAGTAGAAAGGCCTCTTTTAGTGTCCTAAGTTTTCATAACTGTGACCTTAATTGCCTACCGTCTGTAAGCTGTTAGTGTCTTAACGACCGTTCCACAAGTGCATGTTCATTCATTGTTTATGGTTAATTGAACAAGCATGGGAAACAGTGTTTAAACCCTTTACAATGAAGATCTGTGAAGTTATTTAGATTTTTACTAATTATCTTTGAAAGGGTCCTGATAAAGGGAAGTTTTTTTTTTTGCTGAGTTTATATACCTCTGTCTGTCTCTTCTATATTTCTCTCTGTCTCTTCTACAGTGAGGGAAAAAAGTATTTGATCCCCTGCTGATTTTGTACGTTTGCCCACTGACAAAGAAATGATCATCTATACTTTTAATGGTAGGTTTATTTGAACAGTGAGAGACAGAATAACAACAAAAAAATCCAGAAAAACGCATGTCAAAAATGTTATAAATTGATTTGCATTTTAATGAGGGAAATAAGTATTTGACCCCCTCTCAATCAGACAGATTTCTGGCTCCCAGGTGTCTTTTATACAGGTAATGAGCTGAGATTAGGAGAACACTCTTAAAGGGAGTGCTCCTAATCTCAGCTTGTTGCCTGTATAAAAGACACCTGTCCACAGAAGCAATCAATCAATCAGATTCCAAACTCTCCACCATGGCCAAGACCAAAGAGCTCTCCAAGGATGTCAGGGACAATATTGTAGACCTACACAAGGCTGGAATGGGCTACAAGACCATCGCCAAACAGCTTGGTGAGAAGGTAACAACGGTTGGTGCGATTATTCGCAAATGGAAGAAACACAAAAGAACTGTCAATCTCCCTCGGCCTGGGGCTCCACGCAAGATCTCACCTCGTGGAGTTGCAATGATCATGAGAACGGTGAGGAATCAGCCCAGAACTACACGGGAGGATCTTGTCAATGATCTCAAGGCAGCTGGGACCATAGTCACCAAGAAAACAATTGGTAACACACTACGCCGTGAAGGACTCAAGGGTTTTGCCACCAAGTACTAAGTCATGTTTTGCAGAGGGGTCAAATACTTATTTATCTCATTAAAATGCAAATCAATTTATAACATTTTTGACATGCGTTTTTTTCTGGATTTTTTGGTTGTTATTCTGTCTCTCACTGTTCAAATAAACCTACCATTAAAATTATAGACTGATCATTTCTTTGTCAGTGGGAAAATGTACAAAATCAGCAGGGGATCAAATAATTGTTTCCCTCACTGTATATATCTCTGTCTGTCTCTTCTATATGTCTCTGTCTGTGCTCTGTGTTCCAGGTGAAATCAGCCAGTCTCAGCCTAGCTACCGTGCTAGCTCACACAGATTTAGATAATTAACACAAAATGTCAGGTGGCTATTTTGGGTCTCCTCTCTCTTCCAGCAGTCTGTATGTGCTACCAGATTAATCACAGTCCAGCCCCCAAAGTAATGTACCGTTGGAGTGAGAGAGATGGAGTCTGGAGAGATGTATGGGGTGTTGAGGGCTGTGTGGGATGAGGGTTGGGAATAATAGTAGGTGCTACAGTTAGTGGAGTGATGAGGGTGCAGAAGGGTGACTAGAAGTTGTCTTGAGATTTTCTTGGAAGTTAAGAAAGCCAGATACTGTACTGTTGGAGTGAGACATATGTGATTACATTTACATTTTAGTCATTTAGCAGACGCTCTTATCCAGAGCGACTTACAGTTAGTGCATACATTTTTATTTTTTTTCATACTGGCCCCCCGTGGGAATCGAACCCACAACCCTGGCGTTGTAAACGCCATGCTCTACCAACTGAGCTACATCCCTGCTGGCCATTCCCTCCCCTACCCTGGACGACGCTGGGCCAATTGTGTGCCGCCCCATGGGTCTCCCGGTCACGGCCAGCTACGACAGAGCCTGGATTCGAACCAGGATCTCTAGTGGCACAGCTAGCACTGCAATGCAGTGCCTTAGACCACTGCGCAACTCGGGAGATTGATGAGTATTGTGATGGAGTATGTAGTGATATATATGGACAGGTAGAGGGGGATGATGGTGTGTAGGGGAGGATAGTAGATGGAATGATGAGTGCGGAATGGTGGATGGCATTTTCTACATTAGAAAGTTGAAAAGAGATTTGTTTTCTGTGGGCCTCTTAATAACATACTCCCCACGTCAACTCTCTCTCAGGTGGATGCCCATGAGGAGTTGTACTCCATGGCTGATGATGTGTTCGAGTCTCCCCCTATGTCGGCTTCCTACGGAGACCACCATGAGCCCTACCAGAGCCTGTAAGTAGCCTACATTAGAGGGATGGGGGAGAGCGATTAAAAGACGTAGATTGATAAAGTCTCGTTGACTTTCTCCCTCTCTGTGTCTCTCTCTCTGTGTCTCTCTCTCCCTGTGTGTCGCTCTCTCTCTGTTTGTGTCCCTCTCTCGCTGTGTGTGTCTGTCTCTGTGTGTCTCTGTCTCTCACCCCCAGTAGGGATGTGTCTAAAAACCCCACCGTGCATATTGAGAAGGCCGGGCCACAGCAGCGGGGGCGTCGTATCGCCTCCCAGGTCAAGCACTTTGCCTTTGACAAGCCCAAGCGGCAGTTCGGCATGGGCGTGGTGGGCAAGTGGCTCAACCGCCACTACCGCCACAGCATCAGCAGCCAGGTGCAGAAACAGCTGGACGACTTCAGCAGCCACAGGTGAGGCGGGAAGGGAAACGCATGCATAAGAACACATACAGACAAAAACACACACACAATCCACACCTAGTACACATTTAGTGGGCATTCATTCATCTGTGAGAACCACAAAGGAAACATTTTCAAATAATCCAATCCAAATAAGTAAAACAACCCTGCTGTGTCGTCTCCCTCAGACCGTACTTCACCTACTGGATCACCTTTGTCCACGTGGTCATCACCATCCTGGCCTGTGCTACCTATGGCTTTGCCCCTGTGGGGTTCGCCCAACACTCTACCTCTGAACTGGTGAGGAGTCCCATAGGGCCTAGGCAACTGCACAGCCTAATTGGATCCAATGGTTTCTGTGATGGCTTCTGGCATAGCTCTTTTGATCCACAATGGCTACCTTAGTGATCTATTGAGCTGTTTCTGCTGACTGTGTTTTCTTGGTCTCCCTCCATAGGTGTTGAAGAACAAGGGCATCTATGAGAGTGTCAAGTTCATCCAGCAGGAGAACTTCTGGATCGGCCCTGGCTCTGTGAGTCACTGCTCTTCTATCTCACGTGTCATACATGCTGTATGTCTTTTCAGTCTTACATTTGGGGTCTTTTAGTTTTGATGGTCTACATCTGCAGTGGTGTTGGTAGGTGCTAGGTGGGAGGCGAACTTAGCCTTCAACAGGACACGCTAAAGAGGTTCTGGACTCACTCACTAGTACTTATTAACTGGTTATTTACTCACTTACTGTAGTGTAGTGTACTTACTAGTGTGCCTTCTGACTGTACTAAGGTACTTACTGACTGTACTAAAGTACTTACTGACTGTACTAAAGTACTTACTGACTGTACTAAAGTACTTACTGACTCGTTTACACTTACTGACTTCATTTTGCCTTGAGAAACTTCACGCTTGTCAGGTTCAGATCCACTTCGACAGTGATACAGAATGTTCATTTCAGAGAATGTGTTGGGCTGACAGTCAGTAACCCATGTTACAGTTTGTGTTCTATTAGGGAGTCAAGTGAAAAAGTGGGTGTGAAAAGTAAGACGATGGCTCCACCACAGCATCCCACATAGGCCACAATATGAACAGAGTAAAGGGTCCCACACGACTAGTCTAGTGGGTGGCTATAGCTCAAATAACTGGAGCTGTGGGTTTGGTGGCTAACTGTGTCTTTGTCTGTTCTGTACTGTGATGCTTTAACTACTACCTTTGCATGGTTGACTATCAAAATATGATCTCTTGACTACTTACAGTACAATAAAGAGGTCTAACGGCCAGCTAAAACAAAGGCTAGGCCAGTAAGCCTAACTATTTTTTGGCCCTGGTTCTGAGTTGCCCGGTTAGGTTAACTTTATTGGATTCCCAACTATTTTTGGTTGCTAGATCAAATATGTGTCTGGTTGCCAGATTAAGAATGTATTCCTGTGTTCTATCCCCCCTCTTAGGAGGACCTAATCCACCTTGGGGCCAAGTTCTCCCCGTGTATCCGCAAGGACAGCCAGATAGTCAGTCTCATCCAGAAAGCCAAGGACCAGGAGAGAGAGTCAGGCTGCTGTGTACAGAACGACAACTCAGGCTGTGTCCAGACCCTCAGCAACGACTGCTCGGTACGCAAACACACACGTACGCAGTACATGCATATGTATTATTGTAGGCCCACACAAATACTGTAGTAGACCAATGCACGTGCACACACACACACAACCCCCTATTGTACTCCCACTTACGCTCTCTCTCTCTGTGTGTCACACTCACACACACTCTCCTGCCACCTAGAGATTACCGGTTGTAAACTTGAAACAAGATTATCAACTTTTTTGTCTGGCTGTGTTTATTCTGGTCTGTGTGTAGGAGTCATTGGCCACCTTCATGAAATGGAAGGATGAAGATGTGGACATTCTGAGGTCATCAGGCTCTGTGTGTCACCAGGACCCCAGGTACTGTCTTTGATACTGTTCTACTATACTGAATACAGTGCTAACACACATACACACTCACACTGGAGTGCTGACCTGTTAAGGTAAAACTGTAACTTGAGGGTATCATAAAGTGTCTTCCTGCTATCTGTTTTCCTGACGCATGCTGGAAACAGGACCTGTGAAGAGCCTGCCTCCGCAGAGCCTCACATCTGGCCCGATGACATCACACATTGGCCGGTGAGTGACAGGAGGATCTTCCAATGTTATGCTTCGTCTGACAGCCCTGCTAATATGTATTGTGTGACCAGACATCATTATACATGACATTTACAGTGGGGGAAAAAAGTATTTAGTCAGCCACCAATTGTGCAAGTTCTCCCACTTAAAAAGATGAGAGAGGCCTGTAATTTTCATCATAGGTACACGTCAACTATGACAGACAAAATGAGAAAAAAAATCCAGAAAATCACATTGTAGGATTTTTTATGAATTTATTTGCAAATTATGGTGGAAAATAAGTATTTGGTCAATAACAAAAGTTTCTCAATACTTTGTTATATACCCTTTGTTGGCAATGACACAGGTCAAACGTTTTCTGTAAGTCTTCACAAGGTTTTCACACACTGTTGCTGGTATTTTGGCCCATACCTCCATGCAGATCTCCTCTAGAGCAGTGATGTTTTGGGGCTGTCACTGGGCAACACGGACTTTCAACTCCCTCCAAAGATTTTCTATGGGGTTGAGATCTGGAGACTGGCTAGGCCACTCCAGGACCTTGAAATGCTTCTTACGAAGCCACTCCTTCGTTGCCCGGGCGGTGTGTTTGGGATCATTGTCATGCTGAAAGACCCAGCCACGTTTAATCTTCAATGCCCTTGCTGATGGAAGGAGGTTTTCACTCAAAATCTCACGATACATGGCCCCATTCATTCTTTCCTGTACACGGATCAGTCGTCCTGGTCCCTTTGCAGAAAAACAGCCCCAAAGCATGATGTTTCCACCCCCATGCGTCACAGTAGGTATGGTGTTCTTTGGATGCAACTCAGTATTCTTTGTCCTCCAAACACGACGAGTTGAGTTTTTACCAAAAAGTTATATCTGACCATATGACATTCTCCCAATCCTCTTCTGGATCATCCAAATGCACTCTAGCAAACTTCAGACGGGCCTGGACATGTACTGGCTTAAGCAGGGGGACACGTCTGGCACTGCAGGATTTGAGTCCCTGGCGGCGTAGTGTGTTACTGATGGTTGGCTTTGTTACTTTGGTCCCAGCTCTCTGCAGGTTATTCACTAGGTCCCCCCGTGTGGTTCTGGGATTTTTGCTCACCGTTCTTGTGATCATTTTGACCCCACGTGGTGAGATCTTGCGTGGAGCCCCAGATCGAGGGAGATTATCAGTGGTCTTGTATGTCTTCCATTTCCTAATAATTGCTCCCACAGTTGATTTCTTCAAACCAAGCTGCTTACCTATTGCAGATTCAGTCTTCCCAGCCTGGTGCAGGTCTACAATTTTGTTTCTGGTGTCCTTTGACAGCTCTTTGGTCTTGGCCATAGTGGAGTTTGGAGTGTGACTGTTTGAGGTTGTGGACAGGTGTCTTTTATACTGATAACAAGTTCAAACAGGTGCCATTAATACAGGTAACGAGTGGAGGACAGAGGAGCCTCTTAAAGAAGAAGTTACAGGTCTGTGAGAGCCAGAAATCTTGCTTGTTTGTAGGTGACCAAATACTTATTTTCCACCATAATTTGCAAATAAATTCATTAAAAATCCCACAATGTGATTTTCTGGAAAGACATTTCTCAATTTGTCTGTCATAGTTGACGTGTACCTATGATGAAAATTACAGGCCTCTCTCATCTTTTTAAGTGGGAGAACTTGTACAATTGGTGGCTGACTAAATACTTTTTTTCCCCACTGTATACATTCAGAATGTTGTACCCCACTGTACAGTATAAGCCCCTGGTATTAAAATACAGCAGTGGATGAGAGGTTACAGAACCATCATAACCTCAGGTCTTGGATCAGTGGAAACCAACACTAGCTTCTTCTCACCCTCTCTCCATCTGATCCCAGATCTGCACCTCCCCCCGCAAGACGAACCTGACAGGCTACAGACACATGGACTGTAACATCAAGGGACGACCCTGCTGCATAGAAACTAAGGGCCGGTGTGAGATCACAACGAGAGAGTACTGCTCCTTCATGCACGGTTACTTCCACGAGGAGGCCACCCTCTGCTCCCAGGTAGGTGGGTGTGTGTCCGTCTGTCCGTCCATCTGTCCTATGTGGATGTTGTTTACAGGGTTCGTTGAATGACAGCCAACTCCCTATCTGATCCTGTGGTCTCTCTTTGTTAACAGATCCACTGTCTGGATGATGTGTGTGGCCTCCTGCCCTTCCTCAACCCTGACGTCCCTGACCAGGTCTACAGGCTGTGGCTCTCCTTGTTCCTACACGCAGGGTAATCATACACTGTATTTCTATAGTACTTTTTATACATGATCTTGTTTTTAGCCTAAAGTGCTTTACAGTATGAGTATGTAGACCCCAGGTCATCTCACTGTAGTCACATCAATACTTAGTGCAAATCCAAACACCATATGTAGAGTCATGGGTTTTTGCTGACCACTTGACCTGGCCAGGAACATCTCTGTTATACTCTGTTAAAGGTCCAATGCAGCCGTTTTGATCTCAATATCAAATCATTTCTTGGTAACAATTAAGTACCTTACTGTGATTTGTTTTCAATTAAAATGGTCAAAAAGAAACAAAAATAGCTTCTTAGCAAAGAGCAGTTTCTCAAGCAAGAATTTAGCAAGTACTGTCTGGGAGTGGTCTGATTGGGGAGGGGAAAACTGAAAATGTTCTGTTATTGGCACAGTGCTTTGGAACTCTCTTTCTTATTGGTCTATTAACTCATTTACCGCCTGGTGATGTCACCAGACATTCCAAAACTCCATCCTACCAAAACAGGCTGAAATTTCAGGTGGTCTTTTCAAGCAGTGCTTACACTAATAGGGCCTTATCGTCATTTTCAAAATTTCACAGTATTATTCCAACCTCATGGTGTGGAAATATATATAAAACACAGGAAAATCACGTTTTAGACTACACTGGGCCTTTAATACTTTGTTTAACCCTAGTTGTAGCCTACTACACGGCTCTGATTGTTCCTTGTCAGTTTACATGGTCAGTGAAAACTCAGGGATATCCTATTGTATCCCACAGTCCCTAAGTATGGCCTTAACAGAAAATACTGTGTTGAGGGTTCCCCCACATGATTAAGATATGGGTACTTAGTGAGGAGATTACAGCACGTGCTGGTGTTCAGGTTTGTTTGTGTGTGTGTGTGTGTGTGCACAGGTTAATATAACATAAGCCTACAGTATGTGTGTACATTTCCATGCGTTGTCCTCTGACTGGCCTCTTCCCTTTCCCTATGAAGCCTCCTCCACTGCCTGGTGTCCGTAGTGTTCCAGATGACCATCATGAGAGACCTGGAGAAGCTGGCTGGCTGGGTCCGCATCTCCATCATCTACGTCCTCTCTGGCATCACCGGCAACCTGGCCAGCGCCCTCTTCCTCCCCTACAGAGCTGAGGTACACACACAGGCTCACACATAGGAGCGCATGTACACACACACACACCCCTTTTCAGCTCACACAACTGCCACTGCTGATCTCCATTGAGCTGGTCAGGTGTTTTATAGGAAAGCTGGTGAGAGAAAGAGCGTTAACATCTCAGCTATACCCTTGGCAGCCACTGAGCTTAGCTCGGTTACTGGAGGAGCTTTGGATAGGGAGATTACTGGACTGGACGTGACCCTGTCTGGAGGGTAAACGGTAAGGACTTAACTGCCTCTGCCCTGCCTCCATATCACCATTACACATGGCTTGAGAAAGCCATAGAGATCCTCTATTCATTTGTATGCTCAAAGCATTGGTAGAAACGTATTGCAATTGTGCGAACTGGCTGAATTGCTAGGGTTGGCACTGTCAATGAGACGTTCTTACAGCCTGAGAAGTAGGGCCTTAGCTGCAGTAACCAGATGTGGTGTGCCAGGGTCCCCCTAGTGGTGAGAAGTAGTTTCAATTCACTCCATGTAAACTGTAAAGGTCCATGCATCCCATACATTTGCATTCCTTTGTGCAACACACAAAACTGGGTCTCAAGTTCATGTTTTGTCACAAATTAGTGTTGACCCAGTCAGTTGACCCATTCTTTCTGTCTCAGACCATGTCTGAATCTCTCAAGTGTGGTCGCACACACAAACACACACACTCTTACACGTTTTGTCATTCACATTGTAGCCCTATCCTCCCTACAGAGGTAATGTCCAGCTTTCTGTGTTCCTCTCCCTGACCGGGAGACACTGGTACTTGTTGTGTTATCTGGACATGATCTAATCCAACCAACCCCTTTTCTTCTGCAGTGTGTGATGTGCTAATGGGAAGTTAGTCCAATCCCCTCTGAGGTGAGGCAGCTGGCTTAATTGTGCCTGTGTGTTAAGGAGAGAGCGAGAGAGGCAGGGACACTCAGTACAGGTTGCGAAGTCAGCAGTAGGCTAAATGTGAAGGGCACAGGAAGTGATTTCAGAGCGCCTTTGGACAGGAGACGCTGTTCCCTTGTAATCTCCTCTTATAGTTTTATCGTGAAAAGTTACGTTCCATTAGGCTATTGCTGTCCATTTAGCATAGGAAGAGTGGACAAGTGACTTGAATGTTTTCCCCTTCTATTTCTTCTGGTGTTAAGCCCCCTTTCTGTATGACCAGACTGTAATAGCCCACCCATGCTAAACTTCATTGATTACAATTTGATTTGGAGAAATGAAGAGTGCAAATGTTACTGGAAAGAAGAGCGTGCTCTACAGTTTTGTGCTTGAGGACAAGGCTCAGTATCTTGGACAGGATGCGTTGGTTGTGACGTGGGCATTGCCAAGTGGGAGAAGAGAGCTGGTGTGGATGACCTAATTGGTGCAAAGAAACCTCTCCCAATTGACCTCTGTAAGACGCAGCCTCTTTCTTAGTCGCTACAGATTACTCTAATTATATTGTGTGTGTTAACAAAGGGCACTGCTACGCTAATCCAGATTCCTGGTCTGTTCAATTGTTGAAAAAATAAATGGTCTGGTCTTCCAGTGCTTCTACATACAGATTATGGATCAGAGTTTAGTACTCCTGAGGAGTACCTATTTCTGGAAAATCTCTTTTTTCATTTCCCCAGACTACCAGCTCTATTATAAAAGTCTGCAGGTATGTGGCTGCAGCTGTGTCTTTGACATGATTTGGCGCTACATACGTCTGTCATGGTTCTAGTGTGATGTTAGTGTGAGGTAGCACTCAGAAATGTCACCGCTGCTGCACCAGCAGGACGCAGGCTTTCACGCAACAGGAATAGCACCAGAGATGTGAGGCGATACACGACTCCTCATCTCAAGCCAGTTAGTGCCCCGTTTCAGTAAAAATAAGAGGGGATTATCCCATTGGTGTAGTAAACAAGACCCCGAAGCTGTGGCCGGACCACTCTCCATCCACTGTGGTTAAACACATCACAAGTAAGGATTCGTTTGAGGTCTTCATGATGTTGGAAACTAAATGTTTGTTATACCCCTGAAAGGGGGAAATATAGAAATAAATCACACAGAGATGTAGCTTTGGCTTCAAGTCACTTGTAATGAGTCTTTTCATGTAAAATCATCAGCAATTTACATGGGTACAAAATATATTATCTCCAATTACATAGCTGTTACAATTGTTCAATAAACCAGTATTGTCTCATTTATACATTACAATGGCTCAATTAATCCGTTATTGTCCCTCTTTAAATTGACACTATGAAATGCAATGACAAACCTTTTTAACCTTTTTTAAATGTTAAATGCATCACGTATCCCACTATTTATTATCACCATGAATTATCCTTGTATAAACTGTTCCTATATTTATTACATACTGTATGTGTTAATTCCTATCAGTATGCAAACTCATCCTAATAACAAAAACATGTATAACCTTGTATTAATTAGTATTTAGTGCTTTAGATTACCACAACATTCACATTTCCCTAAAGTTTTCCATTGTTTCCATACACCCACACACACAGGAGCTGTGGGCGCGGTCTCTCTCGGGCACGCTCTGATCACGAAGTCACCTTGTGCAAGTGAGCAGCCTTCTAGAAAGCTAGCTAGCAAAACGGCTAATTTCGAAGTGGCCTAACCATACCAATAACACATTTACTGTCTTTAACATCGTTGCTGCTGACCAAATAACACACAGTAGCGGTCTGACATGAACAAAAACATTTGTGACATACCTGATAGAAATAAATCACACAGATGTCGCTTCGGGTTCAAGTCACTTGTAATGAGTGTTGCCAACTCCTCAGTAAGGAAAGTAGCTATTGGCTGTCCTAAAAGTCGCTAAATGACATCATCGCCTAATTTGCATAATTGGCCATGTGCATGTAATTGTGATTGGCGCTGTAGGAGAGAGGAATAACGTTGTGGGAGAGACAAAAAGTGAGTAAAAAAACACCCTTAATATGTTTAGAACAACAAATGAACTTTCTTCTGTCGATTCTTGTTTTTTTTTATGTCACAATTTCAACCCTCCTCCTTTATCCGGGCTTGGGACCGGCAAAAGTGACCCAAAAGAGACACTCTGGCGGAGTTACTTAGTTCTTTGTTTTATTTTTAGTTTAGTTTTCTTAAGTTTGGTTTTTAACCTTATGGTTCACTTAGGAGCCTACTACAAGTCACAGTAAAACATGAACATTTTTAACCATAATAATAATGTCAGAATAATAGTAGAGAGAATTATTTATTTCAGCTTTTATTTATTTCATCACATTCCCAGTGGGTCAGAAATTTATATACACTCAATTAGTATTTGGTAGCATTGCCTTTAAATTGTTTAACTTGGGTCAAACGTTTCGGGTAGCCTTCCACAAGCTTCCCACAATAAGTTGGGTGAATTTCGGCCCATTCCTCCTACAGAGCTTGTGTAACTGAGTCAGGTTTGTAGGCCTCCTTGCTCGCACACGCTTTTTCAGTTCTGCCCACACATTTTCTATAGGATTGAGGTCAGGGCTTTGTGATGGCCACTCCAATACCTTGACTTTGTTGTCCTTAAGCCATTTTGCCACAACTTTTGAAGTATGCTTGGGTCATTGTCCATTTGGAAGACACATTTGCGACCAAGCTTTAACTTCCTGACTGATGTCTTGAGATGTTGCTTCAATATATCCACATAAAAATCTATTTTGTGAAGTGCACAAGACCCTCCTGCAGCAAAGCACCCCCACAGCATGATGCTGCCACCCCTTATACGGTTGGGATGGTGTTCTTCGGCTTGCAAGTCACCCCCTTTTTCCTCTAAACATAACGATGGTCATTATGGCCAAACAGTTCTATTTTTGTTTCATCAGACCAGAGGACATTTCTCCAAAAAGTACAATCTTTGTCCCCATGTGCAGTTGCAAACCGTAGTCTGGCTTTTTTATGGCGGTTTTTGAGCAGTGGCTTCTTCCTTGCTGAGCGGTCTTTCAGGTTATGGCGATATAGAACTCGTTTTACTGTGGATATAGATACTTTTGTACCTGTTTCCTTCAGCATCTTCACATGGTCCTTTGCTGTTGTTCTGGGATTGATTTGCACTTTTCGCACCAAAGTACGTTCATCTCTAGGAGACAATTTTTGGAAAAATTACTTGTCATGCACAAAGTAGATGTCCTAACCGACTTGCCAAAACTATAGTTTGTTAACAAGAAATTTGTGGAGTGTTTGAAAAATGAGTTTTAATGACTCCAACCTAAGTGTATGTAAACTTTCGACTTCAACTCTATCCATCTATTGGCCCTTTGAGTACATCAACATTTGCCAGTGGATTCAGCACCCTGCTGCTCACAGACTTGATCAGGCTAACCAAGCTGTCAAGTAGCTTAAGAGGATCTACTTGCTCTCCCTCAAAAGCCTTGATGGCCAACTGTACCTCACCCAGCACTGACTTCAAAAAAGTCAGATACAATATGTTTTGAGGATCACTATACATGGAGTATAAAACCTCAGCCATGTAGCAGTGTTCACTGGACTTGGTGACTGCGAAATGCAGCCTAAGCTCCTCCCACTGGTCCAAAATGTGTGAAACCGCGGGTTCAATGGAGAGCCAACGTGTGGCACACACCTTGCTTATCTGTAAAGGTTTCTCCCCACAGTTGATGGTGTCATATATGGCCTTGTAGGCCTCCCTGCGCTTTGGAGACACTGAAAACCAGTTATAAGTCTCTTGTACCAAGTACTCAACACTACGGGGGATGGTGTTATTGGAAGCATGACTTACAGCAAGCTGCAGAGAGTGGCACACACAGCGAATAAGAACCAGATCTTTGAGGCCATACTCCTCCATCAGCACTTTATGGACTCCATTGTTAATCCCCGTCATAACAGAGGCATTGTCAGTCCATATCCCCAGGAGTTTCTATTTTTTAAGACAACACTTCTCGAGGAAAGCCACAACAGCACGGGCTATAGATTTGGCATCTCCTCCCTCCAACTCAACAAGCCCCAGAAATGTTGATACAATTGTCTGCTTGGTGTCACTAAAGTACCTTATCACAACCCCCAGGTACTTAGAAACACTTACATCTGTGGACTCATCGAGGAGGAGGCTGAAACGCTGGTCACCCACATCTGCGACCAACTTTTTCAGAAAGTATGGTGCTAGAACACCATTAATCATTTCTGTGCACTTTGTCCTGTGCATTTTGAAGTGGGTAGCAGCAGTGGAGTCTGAGAAAGCAGCTCTACATGCTTCTCCAATGTGATCACATGCCAGCATGGAACAGTGTTCAGCGATAGCTAATGCCATGGTGGACTCAGCCTTTTTTGCAGAGTCAATTTTTTTAAACCATAAATGGCAGCTTGTTTTGGGTGGAACTGTTATAAGGCTTTGCCTTTTGAGTATGTTTTTGAGTTGTCATGTGTTTTTTTACATCACTAAGTTTGGCGTAGAAATCAGCCTTACAATACAGGCAGTATGCCCGTGTATCATCTCCAATAAACGGCTTCAACCAGCCTTTGAATTCAGGGTTTGATTCCCACTCCTTTCTGTATTTTTGAGTGTACAGTTTACACTGAGACATGATGAGCTAGCCACCTAGATGTTTAGCTTATGTCACAGAGAGGCGCACACACAGTGGACGAGGTGAGTAAGTGACTGAGGCTGTGTGAGTCAAATCAGTGATTTGTTTTTGTGCAGTATTTATTTTAGACAAAGAACATTTTACATTTACATCCCGCCCTGAATGTAAGCCAGGGCGGGATTAGCCAGCGGCGGCTTCCCGCATGTGTGATTCATTTGCAGTCTGGATGTGGAGGGGTGAACATCTCCTGCTCTGACTGCAGCTGGGAGGGACTGCTGCGCGAGGACTGGGCCGCCTGTGAGTGCTTTGGGACGGGGGTGGGGCCCACTGGGTGGGGCCCACGGCAGCACCCGCTGCTCGTTGAGAAGAGTAAGAACGATACGTGCTTTCACGTCAGAGTCTCCAAAAGTTTCCAATAACACCAGAAAAAGTCGCTAGATTTGTCGCTAGTCGATCTTTTGAAAATGTGTCACTAGAGGGGTATGAATACTCGCTAAATATAGCGACAAAGTTGCTAAGTTGGCAACACTGCAGGGAAGCCCTGTGCGCCCCTATAGGAATTCCTAGGTATAACCAATCAAACTCAGATCAGACATCAATAGAGCACACAGATCGTATAATCAGCATTTAGATAAATGAACAGAATATGACTTACTGGACACATTAGGATTCTGTATTATTATTTCGTTATTATTGAGGCACATTTTTTATTATATCACATTTGCTCATACCAAGTCTGACTAGTAAGACATTTCCTTTGCAAAATATTAATTCAAGATCAACCAAGATGAACAGGGTAAATCGAATGAGCTAGACACCTTGCGTTAATTAACTCATCAGAAACCTTAAAATAGCAACCATTTCGTTTTCTTGGCTTTTGATGAATAAACTACCAAAGACCTCCTCTTCAACCCTCTCCCTCATGTTGTTGTTATGAAGTGAGAGTACTACAAAGGTCACACTAGTACACTAAATTTCACAACTTGGGCTACTGAACACCAATCACCTTCTGTGTTAATCTCCCAGTGAGTGCTGCTGGAAGTGGAAATGGTGGAAGACCAGGTACGTGTCATATGCCAAAGTAAAGATTACATAAAGAGGCATCAGTCCATGGGAATGCCTGAGAATATGTGCGTGTGTAGGGTTGCATAACTCCTGGAACTTTCAATAAATTCCCTGGTCTTCCTCAAATTCCAGGTTGGAGGTTTGCCAGAATCAGAAGGGAATAAGCAGGAAATCCGGAATCCTCAAACCAGGATTTCTGGAAAACCAGGGAATTTATTGAACGTTCCAGGAATTTTGCAACCCAATGCGTGTGATTTGATGTCAGGGTCTATTATTACTGGCTAAAGCATCTGGTGATGCGTGATGATTCCCATGAGGTCTAAACCAGATTACCGTTCGGCATATCATTGATCCGCTCAGCGAGCAGTATGACCAGGAGTCTTTGGTGGGTCAGGGTTGGATGGTCTAGGGTTATCTCAAAATGTTTCATAGAAATTGCAAGATTTCATGGATTGCTCATTCAACTTTAAAAGTAGTTCATTCAGTTCTGGTGGCGGTTTCAGAAATGCTTAATGATACAACAGTAACACTCGCTAGTACTTCTTCAAAGGACTTTGAGTCACTCTTCAGTGCAGAAATTCTGATGTCAGAAAAAGTTCAGACGATCTGAAACTCAGCCTCTCTAAAAGAAACAACTAGATGTCACAACAGTAACACTCCCTAGTTATTCTTCAAAGGACTTTCTGAGTCACTAGTTAGTGCAGAAATTCAGAAGTCAGAGAAAGTTCAGACATTCTGAAACTCAGCCTGTCAAACAAAGTGTTGAATGGCGAGTGAAGCTTAGACTGTCTAGTGCTGGCTGGGGTATGACTGGATTCAAATCACCCATATAGCATGTCTGGAACATGTAGGCCACGTGGCTAGGGCGTGTGAAAAGCCTCACTCCTCCTCTCCCGTCGTTGTGGGAGGTTAGAATCTCAGATTAGCCATCTGCCCCGGTACGCCCACCACAGCCCTGACGTCAATCTAATCAGGATGCCAGCCGTAGAACCAGTGACCAAAGAAGCATTGCCCTTTATTTAACCAGGTAAGCCAGTTGAGAACAAGTTTTCATTTACAACTGCGACCTGGCCAAGATAGAGCAAAGCAGTGCGATTAAAAACAACAACACAGAGTTACATATGGGGTAAAACAAAACATAAAGTCAAAATTACAACAGAAAATATATATACAGTGTGTTCAAATGTAGCAAGTTATGGAGGTAAGGCAATAAATAGGCCATAGTGCAAAATAATTACGATTAGTATTACATTTTCATTTACATTTTCGTCATTTAGCAGACGCTCTTATCCAGAGCGACTTAACACTGGAATGCTAGATGTGCAAGAGTTGATGTGCAAATAGAGATACTGGGGTGCAAATGAGCAACATAAATAACAATATGGGGATGAGGTAGTTGGGTAGGCTAATTACAGATGGGCTGTGTACAGGTGCAGTGATCGGTAAGGTGCTCTGACAACTGATTGTTAAAGTTAGTGAGGGAGATAAGAGTCTCCAGCTTCAGAGATTTTTGCAATTCGTTCCAGTCATTGGCAGCAGAGAACTGGAAGGAGACGGTGGTTAAAATGTCCGATGGCATAATTATATATTGATCGCAGCATTTATTTGGGGACATTGTACCAAAAATAATTACCCTGCGGAGAGAAAGTCAATTGCAGGGCTGAACCTCTCCAGACCCCTGAGCTACATGCATTTGCATCAGTAGACTACTGACTAAATTCACTATTACACACAGACGTCAACATGTAATGCACTCAGCTGGTGCACCTGCTTCCCATTTTGCCTGATTCCTATTGTCTTCTGCTATGAGGGACTATAACAACTCAGCCTCAGTCATCTGCCTGTCCATTAACAAGGCGCACGCTGACGTACGCTACCACCACTTCCTTCATGCTAATGTACTAGCATTTGATAGGAATTTCAACAGATACTACTGAACCGCCAGTGAGCAGGATGCATGCATTTATCCCTGCTTCTTCCGCTGATATGCCCCATGCTATGGTCAACAGTGACTCATTCATTCATGCACATGCTGGCCTTGATTCCCATTCATCCATTGGTGGCATTGTCATCCAGTGAAACATCAACCCCCAACCCCCAACCCCTCCCTCCATGTTGTTTGGTCAGAGCAGGTGGATGTATGACTCTCTTTTCCCTCGCTCTCTCTGTCTTTCTATGGTTATCATCCAGGTTGGCCCAGCTGGCTCCCAGTTTGGGCTGCTTGCCTGCCTGTTTGTGGAGCTCATCCAGGGCTGGCAGATGCTGGAGAAGCCGTGGAAGGCCTTCCTCAAGCTGGTGGGCATCGTCTTCTTCCTGTTCCTGTGTGGCTTGCTGCCCTGGATCGACAACATCGCCCACATCTTCGGCTTCCTCAGCGGCCTGCTGCTCTCCTTCGCCTTCCTGCCCTACGTGACGTTCGGCGACTTTGACAAGTACCGAAAGCGCGTCCTCATCCTGCTGTCGCTGCTGGTCTACCTGGGCCTGCTCTCCTCGCTGGTTGTCTGGTTCTACATCTACCCCATCAACTGGCACTGGCTGGAGCACCTCACCTGCCTGCCCTTCACCAGCAAGTTCTGCGAGAAGTATGACATCGACCATGTGGTGCACTAGGCTAGCGCTCACTAAAACGCTAACAGCTAATGCTAGCTGGCTTTAGAGCCTGGACAGGAAGCGCAGTGGAAAATACTTTTAAGGGAAATGGAACTTAAAGGGAGAGGCCCGTAAGTGTTGAAAGCACCCAGGGTATCTACGCACATTGACTTCAAGACTGTAAAGCCATGCTAGTTCCTCTGGAGAGAGAGAGACTCAGTCTGAGCATGCTGTTAAAGTGGACTTGGAAGACTACAGAGGATATCTTAACATTCGGTTCATAAACTGTCAAGTTAATACTACAGAGGCCTCTTATTTGCTTATTTGTTACCTTTTGTACTCGTTTTCTACAACACTGGATCTATCTAACACTATGATATAGCATTTCATTATGTTCAAATACTTTGAATTAGCTGTTCATGTGAGCATTTCATTATGGTATTGAATACAAGTCATACAGTCATTCATGGTTTCAACTTGAACCTAGTTTTGTGTGCTTTTCATGACTTTTCCATGGCGCTTTTGTTGTTGTTGACCAGTTAAGTGTTAAGAATTCCATCCAATAGCAGTTGCTTTTCACAATGAATTATACTGTACAAACAGTTTCAGTGAAATTGTGTTATTGTATCTGTAAATTATGCTTGTTCTTCATCTGAATGATTGGTCTGACCTTCCAAATCCTGCTTTCCAATATGCCTAGGTTATTTAAATCAACTGCCACAGGTGCTAGATAAATATACATCTAACTAATTCCAATTTAACTGTGTCACTGCCCCAAAGACAAGCTGTTAGCCTTATGGAAGGCTTTTCAGTTGAAGTGCACTACTAATTAAACACGTTGACTTGTTTTGGCCATAATTGTGCCATATCACTAGACATTGTGTTTATAACTTTGATACTCAAAAGTTAATTAAATGTAATATCGTAAGATTATAAAATTTGACTGACCGTCCAAAAGGCAGTATGTGATCTTATTGAGCAAGCTAGAAAGTCCATGTTGTTTCACGTCAAACTACGATGTGCTTGCACTATGTCTCTATAGTAATTATAGCACTTCAGTGATATCAGTCCAAATGACTTATCAATATGTTATGTGTATATATTTCAAAAGCGAACGAGAATCAATGTACTGTGCCTTGATCAATGGCCATTGATTCAAGAAAGGCTGCTAGTCATTCTTGCCATTACAGATACCAAATTGGCCAACAGAGTTTCTGCTACCCCGGCCTGCTCCTGTGTTCTTGGATTATGTCCCTCTGCTCTGGCAGGTGTCCGCTCTTAACTGTTTAGGACGTTTCCTCAGAGGTGGATTACTGCGGTGATGTGGATTATTTTAGCAGGATTTACTCTGCTTTGTTTAGTCACTTTACACACCAGCAGTCAACTGGTGGCGTTAATGGCCGACTTTGTCAATAGTGTGGAATTCTTCACAGGTGTTGGTTGGACAATCGTTGAGTACTGTTTTACATTGTTTTACCATTGTTTTGTCATTTGGGCATTTAAATGGTTGTGACCCTGTTTCATTTGCTAGGAACCTGTCCCTCCTTTTCTTTTTATATGAACACTTCGGCACAGTCTGCTCCTCGTCATAGTAATAATATGCCATTTAGCAGACGCTTTTATCCAAAGCGACTTACAGTCATGCGTGCATACATTTTTGTGTTTGGGTGGTCCCGGGGATCGAACCCACTACCTTGGCGTTACAAGCGCCGTGCTCTACCAGCTGAGCTACAGAGGACCATTGGTCATAGGAATTCACAGTGCCTTCTGAAATGTGTATAAGCCTTTAATTTGAGTATCTGCAAGAATAAGTCTATATATGCATTTGGACCAAATTGATTAATTTATTGGAATAAAAAAGGATACTTTGGAATTTGCTCTTTTACTGAGATATTGTGATATTTTTGCTGCAGTTTTTGAAGATATTACTCACGTACGTGTATGTAAAAATTCAGATGATGTTCTTGAAAATAAATGTAAATCTAGTCATGTTTTCCCTCTTGTGTCTTGAGCTCATAGATTCAACTACTGGTAAACTTTCCTGACTTTTGCCAAATGGCACAAGGAAACTACTATGGATCTATGCGTCTGAACTATTTCTCTTGACAATCGCATTCAGCCAGGTAGTGTGGTGGCGCTTGAAAAGCTGTTGTAGATTCACCCTCTTCAAGAGAGATTTACTCCACAACTTTCATCTCTGTGGGTCACGTTTTGCAAGCTGAGATGTTGAAAACCAGTCACTCTGTCCTCTAAATCTGGCGTTTGTTAATCATAGAAACCCTACAGTGTAATGCATTGCTACATTCCAAATGAAAGGGAAACAGTCAGAAACAAATGTTAGAAAAATAAATAGTTTATTTTCTTATTTTCAAAATGTTATAAAAATCAGTCATGTCTTGATTCAAGATTGATGGAGGCAGAGGTGGTGGTTTTCTACAGGGAAAAAGGAGACTCCTTTATCAGGGGGAATGGAGAACACCGGGGAGGTATATTGGCAAACATTGCTGTGTTTCAAACATCAAAATGCTATAAGTCTATTCTCAAACACTGTGCCAGCTACAAGTATATTGTTCACATACTAAATTGGCAGCAGCAAATAGACGATTCTCGTAAATCCCTAGAAGTTAATGACAATAATACCTGCTAATGGACACGTTAGCAGTTAAACCCCTATAGCCCCGGGGAGAGAGGTGTGCAATACTGGTCTACTTTGGAGACCGAAAAACAAACACCGCCTGGTTTGATTATATTTCTCCCTGATATACTGTATATCGGTAATCTAATTTCAGTGTTTTCTCACAATCTAGAAAGAAACAGGTGCTAGCTAAGAGACAATACTACTACCATGAATAATAATACCATGGTATATAGAGGTGTATATAACATGGTTCATAAAAGCTATTTTAGCTACCCAGGGCATTTTAAAGGCATAATACAGGCATAAATATAGAAGGATAAACAAAAACATTAGTGATCTTGAAAAGCAAATGAAAGTCCCAGGCAATCGCCCAGGTGTTGATGTGCCATAAAGCTGCATATTCAGACAGGCAGATTGAGATTGAAAGTCTCCTTCCTGGTTGCTTGGCTCACGAGACCACAGTAAAAAAGAGACATTGAGTTAATGCTGTTTTAATGCTTGCAATGGATCGATACACAAGCAGCACAGCCACAAGACGCTAACAGGAAGAGACAGAAGCTAGCTGATCCTCCTATCTGCATTTTCATTAGATGCTCAAGTCATCCATCAAAATGCAGTTTGTTTGCTAAAATCTCAGACTGAACATGAGTTGAAAAATGTCTAGCATTTTATACAAAAATGTAATTGACAACAAACATTGTTTTAAAAAATAAATAATTTAAGTTATGTACAGTTTAAGTTATTTTCAATGCCTTGCTGCACTTCTCTAATGTAAACCTATCATTTTTGGTAGTTAGCAGATTCTATTTGGTCATCATATGAATAAGAGATTTTGTAAAAATGAATGAAGTAATAAACGTATAATCACGTAATTACTCAAGTAATTCCATATCTTCCCCAAAGATCATGTCAGCCTTTGAGATTGAAAAAAAAAGCCTTTTGTGAACTAAACTCACACATGACTTTTCCCCCTCTTACTAGCTCTGACTTTGCTGATAGCTACTTTGAGGAGAAATATACTTCCTATGACTGATATGTTGTTCTCCCACCTAGCTATCTTAAGATGAATGCACTAACTGTAAGTCCCTCTGGATAAGAGCATCTGCTAAATGACTCAAATGTCAAATGTAAATGTTTGAGTTTTGTGGTAGGTTAAAGTTGGTCTCTTACGAGTCAACTGTCTTCTCTAACACCCACAACACAGGACACACAAACCCTGACACACCACAAATCAGTGAGCACAGACAAACATCTGGCAACCACTGCACTAGTAGCCCACATGTAACTCACAGCAAGCGTAATCTCATTCCCAGAAACTTTGTGCAATAGACTGGGGACGAGGTTACAACAAGCTGCTCACATAGCCCTCTTCCAGCCACAGAAGCTCGGTCAAACACCCCCCATTGAAGGAGGCATCCATCTTGGTTCGCGGCCCCTCAAACACCACTGTTGCGGCGCATGTATGCATGGCCCCGGACAGGGTACATCATCTCAATGAAGGCCAGTGGCCCCACGGTGATGTCGCTGGGGCCCTGCACTTTAAAGCCCGACTTCTGGTAGAACGGGACCAGGAAGTCTTCGCACATGAGCACGGTGCGGCGCACATAGGGCAGGCGGCGCAGGTACTGCAGGTAGCGCCACATCAGGATGGAGCCCTTGCCTTGCTGCCGGAAGGTGCGGTGGACAGCCAGCACATGGAGGTGGACCGTGGAGCCATGGGGCTTGTGGAGGGTGAGAGCGTCCTGAAAAAGGAGGGAGGGAAGGAGTGCATGAGTGCTATCACCCGACTAACTATTTATCATTGTCATGGAGATTTTTTCATGATGGCTTGTTTATGTGGAGGTAAGGTTGTTGCGTTCTCTGATTTTGAGGTGTTTTACATAAAAACCTTGAAGTCCCTGTGCTAAAAAAATGTTTTTACTTATCCAATGATAAAATACCACATTGAAGTATATCCTCAAAGCTTGACTTTTGATTCATTGGGTAGGCTACCAAAAGTCATTCATTATAATAAAGACAATGTCCCACTTATTCAACAGGTTTTGACTTGGGGCTTACCATGGCTAGTTTCTCCTGGTCCCACAGTGATCCTATGATGAAGGCAACTAGGCGTCCCTCCTCAAACCAGCCCAGAGACAGCTCAGGGCACAGCATCAGGAAGTGACACACCTCATCCAAGTGGAGTGGACACTCTCCAGACACAGAGATGAAGGCTGAGGAGGGCAGACCGACAACACAAGTCCATGACCAAGTACAATTGTAGTTGCTTAGTCTAATCTCAGTTTGCTTACTTCCAACTACATACTTGGTGACATGAATCCCATCATGACTGACTGACTGTTTTTTTTGTCATGAATTTGGTTGGTATCCAAAGATTTATTCCCAAAATGTATATTAGCCTAGTCTATTAAAAAACGTAAAAGTTAACTTTAAACGTAAAGCACCTCATTAAATCCAATGAATGACAGCATATTTTTTTCACAAACCATCACAATACCTTTTAACGTCTAGGTACAAAGTTGTATAGAAAAACGACCAGTATTGGCGTAAAAACAAGTTATACATTTAAATAAGTTAAAAGTTCTTACCCTCTCTCTCGATCTCAAACACGCTGATTGCGTCCTCCGGGCTGAGGCAACGGAACTCGCTGGCCGGGAGTGTGTGGCGACGCCCGCGCCTATGGGAGTGGGAGCCCATGGGAGGGCGCATTTGGAGACTAGATTTCAGGAAAGGCAGGGCACTGACTGTCGACATGGTGTCTGATCGAAGTTCCAAGGTCTTAAATCAATTTAAAATGTTGATATTTCAATATAGTTTCTCCTTGTGTATTGAATGGCTGTCTGTCTCGTAAAGTCTGGTTAAAGTGGCGCGCGGTGTGTATTTATACCTTTGGTGCTTAAGCGCTAATGGTCATAAGCCTACAACAAGCTGGATGACCAAATCCTCCATTCTGAGAGATTACCTGTCAACAATAAACATATTTACCCGGATTTATTGGGGATATTCGTCACTTGTGTTTGGAATTCGCCTCTTGTCAAGATGCAACTAATGGATCGGCTTTTGGCTAAGCCTACCTATCACCTACTTTCAGTTATTTTATTTATATACACTACCATTCAAAAGTTTGGGGTCACTTAGAAATGTCCTTGTTTTCGAAAGAAAAGCAATTTTTTGTCCATCAAAATAACAAATTGATCAGAAATACAGTGTAGACATTGTTAATGTTGTAAATGACTATTGTAGCTGGAAACGGCTGATCTTTAATGGGATATCCAAATAGGCGTACAGAGAGCCATTATTACATTTGACATTTTAGTCATTTAGCAGACGCTCTTATCCAGAGCAACTTACAGTTTTAGTGAGTGCATATATTTTTCATTATCAGCAACCATCAGTCCTGTGTTCCAATGGCACGTTGCGTTTGCTAATCCATTTTTATCATTTTAAAAGACTAATTCATCATTAGAAAACCCTTTTGCAATTATGTTAGCACAGCTGAAAACTGTTGTGCTGATTAAAGAAGCAATAAAACTGGCCTTCTTGAGAATAGTTGAGTATCTGGAGCATCAGCAATTGGGGGTTCGGTTACAGGCTCAAAATGGCCAGAAACAAATAACTTTCTTCTGAAACTCGTCAGTCTATTCTTGTTCTGAGAAATGAAGGCTATGCCATGCGAGAAATTGCCAAGAAACTGAAGATCTCGTACAACGCTGTGTACTACTCCCTTCACAGAACAGCGCAAACTGGCTCTAACCAGAATAGAAAGAGGAGTGGGAGACCCCGGTGCACAACTGAGCAAGAGGACAAATACATTAGAATGCCTAGTTTGATAAACAGATGCCTCACAGGTCCTCATCTGGCAGCTTCATTAAATAGTACCCGCAAAACACCAGTCTCAACGTCAACAGTGAAGAGGCGACTCCGGGATGCTGACCTAGGCAAAGTTGCAAAGAAAAAGTCCATTGTCTGTTCTTTTGCCGATCTTAATCTTTTCTTTTTATTGGCCAGTCTGAGATATGGCTTTTTCTTTGCAACTCTGCCTAGAAGGTCAGCATCCCGGAGTCGCCTCTTCACTGTTGACGTTGAGACAGGTGTTTTGCGGGTACTATTTAATGAAGCTGCCAGTTGAGGACCTCATCAATTTGATGTTATTTTAATGGACAAAAAAATTGCTTTTCTTTAGAAAACAAGGACATTTCTAAGTGACCCCAAACTTTTGAACGGTAGTGTATATGAATGACAATTTACATATAGGTGTAAAAATTATGTGTTTGATGTGTACACTTTTGGCTTACTATACTGAACAAAAATATAAACGCACATGCAACAATTTCAAAGATTTTACTGAGTTTTTTTAAGTAGGGGCGTGGATCAGAAAACAAGTCAGTATCTTGTGTGTCCACCATTTGCCTCATGCAGGGTGACAACTCCTCTGCATAGAGTTGATCAGGCTGTTGATTGTGGCCTGTGGAATGTTGTCCCAATCCTCTTCAATGGCTGTGCGAAGTTACTGGATATTGGCACGCCGATCCAGAGCATCCCAAACATGATCAGTGGGTGACATGTCTGGTGAGTATGCAGGACATTGAAGAACTGGGACATTTTCAACTTCCAGGAATTGTGTACAGATCCTTGCGACATGGGGCTGTGCATTATCATGCTGAAACATGAGGTGATGGCAGCAGATGAATGGCACGACAATGGGCCTCAGGATCTCCTCACTGTATCTCTGTGCATTGAAATTGCCATCGATAAAATGCAATTATGTTTGTTGTCCGTAGCTTATGCCTGCCCTTACCATAACCCCACCGCCACCATGGGGCACTCTGTTGACAACACTGACATCAGCAAACCGCTCGCCCACACAATGCTATACACGTGGTCTGCGGTCGTGAGGCCAGTTGGACATACTGCCAAATTCTCTGAAATGACGTTGGAGGCGGCTTATGGTAGAGAAATTAACATTTAATTCTCTGGCAACAGCTCTGGTGGACATTCCTGCAGTCAGCATGCAAATTGCACACTCCTTCAAAACTTGAGGCATCTGTGGCATTGTGTTGTGTGACAAAACTGCACATATTAGTGTGGCCTTTTATTGTCCCCAGCACAAGGCGCACCTGTGTAATGATCATGGTGTTTAATCAGCTTCTTGATATGCCACACCTGTCAGGTGGATGAATTAGCTTGGCAAAGGAGAAATGCTCACTAACAGGGATGTAAACAAGTTTGTGCACAAAATTTGAGAGAAATACGCTTTTTGTGCATATGGAAAATGTCTGGGATCTTTCATTTCAGCTCATGAAACATGGGACCAACACTTTACATTTAGCATTTATATTTTTGTTCAGTGTATAATTTCAAACATATGTGGAGAATATGTGTGTAATTTTAAAATGCCTATTTTATTTAAATGTTGATATCAATATCACATGGCATAGGCCTGCTGGTGATTGTATTATAATCCTATCGGGTTGCCCTCATCTATTTACCAAATGTCTAAATTAAGGGAAACTTTTCCAATGGGAATTAATTGTCTCGAGATGGTGGGTCATAGTTTGTTCCCCATGATAGTTTTTTCAAATCTATAAGAGGATTAGGGGGAGCAGGTAAGAGTTTGTTGATCATTATTTCAGTTTTAATTTATAGTTTATCCCCTGCTGCTAATACGTTGTTGACCTATACGAAATTAGTTTTACAAAAATTTGGCAACCTGATAAATGCAGGTATAGAACAGAGTTAGCCTATGTATTTGACGGAATCCCTTGTGCAAAAAATATCCCTTATGCTTCTCGCATTATTACATTTTAGTCATTTAGCAGACGCTCTGGATAAGAGCGACTTACAGTTAGTGAGTGCATACATTTTCATAGATTAATATGCTTTGGCATTGTGTAGAAACGCGCATTTTTGCGCATGACAAATAAGACAAACGTCCCAATATGCCCCGTCACGTTAGCCTACTACAGTGTCAGGCACGGTATGCACAAAATATGTTATTTCATGTCACAATCCTGTGTTAAAACCATGTCTGTGTCTGCAATAATAAGCGAACTTGAACACTCGCACACTGACACCAAGTGGCGAAAATTGGTCCATTCATGCTTATGGGTGAAGCGCGCGCATAGAATGCATATTCGAGCTCGGGCTACAGACTTGTTGATGGCATTATATTTAAAAGACCATGATCATGCTGTGATATTTAATTACCTTAATTGACAATAGGCCGTGTCCTAGGGGGACCCTAATTCTATGAAATTGGGCACATGACATCATACATTTGTATCATCATGTAGCTAGCAACACCTTACTGTGTGACTAGAATATAAAGAAAGATGTGTTATAATAACGGTGTGATATATCTGTCTCAGACTCATGTACTCACCAAACCCACGCTGAAATAAAAAGCGCCTATGTCGATCTGACAGGCCCTCGATTATTCTCTGAGCGCATTTACGCAGCGCGCGCCCTACGTATCGACGTAAACACGTGCACTTCCCTGGTTACGGGTTTCTCTTTTTTCTTCTTCACCATCCTCTCCCTTTCTCGCATTATTCCCTGACAACAGCAGCGATGGCGGAACCCGTGGCATCGGAGGCAATAGCAACAGACGCAGCTCTTTCTCCGGCTGTAAGCCCGGGTTCGGAGCCTCCATCCATAGCGCTCTCTCCTTCTGCAGGCGGCTCCCAGCGGCTTCTTTTCTCCCACGATTTGGTGTCAGGTCGGTATCGTGACTTGGTCCGGTTCGGCCTAGTCAGAATGATACAAGGCGAGGAGGAGTTTGATTCAGACTCGGACCTCGACGATGGCGGAGGTAGAAGCGGTGGTGTTGGCGGGGGAGGAGGTGGCTGTATCCCCTGTAACTCGGACACCGAGAGCAGTGTTGTGGACAGCCTCGCTCCTCTGGGAAGGGGTTTTGTCCGGGTGCAGTGGTACCCAGAAGGAGGGAAGCAAGACATTCGGGAAACAAAGGTAATTGTCTGTTAACGTTAGCTAATTAGCCACACAATATGTTTTCAACGTTGGCGGTAACGTTAGTTAGCTAGCTTACAACACTTCCAAGGTGTGTTCTCCCGTTATTATTGACAGCTAACGTTAGCTGGTTCAATTAACTACTAACGTTACACCGGTTTACCATGCTATAACCAGCGTTGCGAACGTTTTGTCCGCGCGCTTGTGTAGTTTGTTGCGGTTAACGTTACCTAGCTTCAGCATATTGCACACATTTCTTGAAATGTGCAGTACAACTGGGTGTGACTTAGCAGGCTTAGCTAACTAGCTGGCTAGCTAGTTTTTTTATTAGTGTTAGCTAGTTTAATCGGCACACAGACATTTATTTCTGTAGAGTTAACATTAAACACTAACCAGCTTAGCTAACTGGCAGGATGTCTAGGCTAACTTGATAGCTAATTAAACGCACATTGCTGCCCAATTAGCTAGCTAGTTTGCATCTCAGGTTTTAAATAAATGAGTCAATGATTGATAACTTTTGTAGGAGAGGGAACACTTGCTCAAACTGCTGATAAAACAATGAGGAACGACTTTAACTGAATCATGTAAGGTGGTCTCTCTAGCTGATGCTGTATCTGACACTGACAGCTCAAGCTAGCCATGACACATAACGAGATGAGATGGCTAAGATTATATCACCTATAGAACAATGAGCCAGATGTTTCACCGGATCTAGAAATCTGAGGCATATGGTTGGCGTTTCCACTCACCACCAAATATTGGGATGGGAGGAGATGGAGCTAGATGGATTTTGGCCGACATTCTGCTAATTTTCTCATCGATTAAACATATTTGATGACATCAATAGTTTTCTGTTACCAAAACTAGAATATTTTACGAACAGAGTGGGTTGTTC